GTTTTTTTTATGCTCGGCCTGTCTAAGCTGTGATTGGGTGGTTCATGAAAAGTGACATTGATTACTTACATCAGTTGTGTTCAGTTGGAAGTGATAGATACTATGACCTTTTTATGGGAAATGAAAATAAAGTGGAGGTGCAGGACAGACGATATTGGATTCTGTTAATTAATGTGTGCATTATCCAGGTAGATGAAGTCCAGGGGAGGAAGATAATTGAATTACAGTCTGAGTTTGATAATGCACTGTTGTAATTGATTGTATAAGACAGTGCTCACATCGAGACGAAAGGCAGGCATGATTTGCTTCTAGAGAATGGTAAGAAATTACTTGTTTGGTTTTGGGGTGTGTAGCAGTGTGCAATCTTATGCACACTGCCACACAAAAAGGCACCCATCTTCTCCCTACTCCATCTCCGCGGACAGATTAACAGGCTTGCGAAAACACGAACAGGCGAGCAACACATTGGATAATGTGGATTTAGGGCCATATGAATCGCCAAGAGAACCTGATAAGGAGAGGGCAGTAAATGGGCTACTGGCAGCTTGTGAGAATTAAGTACCGGTTTATTAGAGATTCCTCCATCACAACCTTCCTGCCACAACTCCACTAACTTCATTTGAACTGTTCTCTTGTAAGTTTAGTTTACTTCTTTGACTCGCTAAACAACCTACTTCGTCTTGCCTGTTTTCTCCCTTACCACTTCCTCTCCTACCAGTACTGGAATCCAGTCGCCAAAATCTGTATCATCATCTTTATCTACTTCCTGAGTCCTCCTCAATTCTCAACCAGTTTATGCCCAAGCATTTCCAAGTCCCCAAAAAAAAGGCGGTTATGCTGCATTCCAGGCAACTCTGAACTAGGGAATTTCTGACCTCCAGCTAAAAAAAAAAAATAAAAAAGTACTATGGAACGCCACTTGAAGTTGGATTTCCTACTTCTGAAAAAAATATGTATGCTGCACTACGTCATAGCACATTGCAAATGGTAAGCCATAAACTAAGAGGCAAAGTAAACCATTACATTAGTACATAGCCTAGTATCATAGTAAAACTGTTTCTGCATGTAAGTTGATGTAGAAATATTTTGTCAATGTCATTAGGTAGCTGGTTACAGTATTCAGGAAAATGTTAAAATGCCCAGAAATGTGAACATTTGGAAATATAGCCTACATCTTTTGCTCACTTTACCAACTGATGTAGCTAGAAGGATACACAGTTAATGACCAACTTATATTTATCACTTGTTTTTAATAAAATGGCCAACCTTTTAATTACCACGTGCACTGCTGAGGGTTTAACTGCATAAACTTGCCAAAGAAACATACGTTTGTCACGGTCAGCCATGTTTATCGTTTACATTTAGCATCATGCACTACCATGCAACTGAAACGCTTTGAGGTCAGAAGTCTGTATCCTGGTCAAACAACCACATGAGTGATAAAATCACTGATCGAGATCCAACATTGATTGACTTATACTCATGTTTCTGAGTTTCTGTTGTGACCGATTCAGCTGTCCCTAAAACTAAAGAAACAGTATCAAGGTAGATGCGAACACTAATGCACAGATAATGCAAATCAGTGGTGGAAGAATTATTCATGTCTTTAGGTAAAAGTAGTAATATTGGAATATATAACACTTAAAGTAAAAGTCCTGCATTGAAAATGTAACTATGTAAAAGTATGCAACTATCAGCTAACACTACTCTAGAGTATGAAAAGTATTTAATTAAAAAAATTCCCTAACAATAAAATTAATATTGCTTGAATGTTTAAGTGGCATTTGTTTTATGCTGTAGGTGGTTGCAGTGTATGGAGGATGAGTCTGCCACAGTTGAAAATACAGAAATTAAAAAGTGCTGAAGAATAAATAAAAATATTAAATTCCAAAAATATCAATGAAATTATACAATGCAACATAAAATATCTCTTAATGTCCTTTATTCACCTTTGTATTACATTCCTTTATAAATTTCTGATGAATTACTAAGACTTGATAGACCGTCTTCAGGTAAAATGCAACATTGTTACAATCAGGAACATCCTGTCTCAAAACACTGAAGAAAAACTGGTCCATGCTTTCATTCCTTCCAGGCTTGACTATTGTAATTCTATACTAGTTGGCAGCACAATTAAGTCTCTAAAGCCACTCCAGCTGATCCATAACGCAGCAGCACGTGTTCTGTCTAGAGTCAAGATTAGAGAGCATATTTCCTCCAGTTCTAGCCTCTTTACTGGCTCCCTGTGAAATACAGAATAGATTTTAAAATTGTTCTACTTACCTACAAAACCTTAAATGGCAAGACACCATTGTACCTCAAAGAACTCCTGATACCTTACTGCCCCAATAGAGCACTGCGCTCTCGGCTGCTTGTGGTGCCTAATTTAACTAAGGTTAGAGTGGGACGAAGAACATTTATTTATGAAGCACCTCTACTATGGAACCAGGTTCCTATTTAGGTGCAGGAACTGGATAACATCACCACTTTTAAGGCTAGACTTAAAACTTTCCTGTTTAATAAAATTTAGTAGTAGAAGCTTTAGTTATTCTGATTGTACTTTATTACGTGTTTTATGGTTAATTTTATTTAATTTCAATGCATTTTGTAAAGTGTATTGGGACCATGTTTTTGGTGATTTTGCACTTTAAATTAAACTTGACTTTCATATGTCAACATTTGTCTTTGTAAAGTGAGAAAATTAAATAAAGTCGTTAACCCTGCCTGTCAACTTGCTGTGGTCCGTTTCGGTGTATTTACCATAAAGGCTCGAATACGTATGCACTCCAAATTTAGGTGCAGCTAGCTTGACTGCATTCTCACAGACAGCTCACCTGATTGCAGTTTTGTGTCCGTGTATTCCGCTAACTGAAACACTGTCAGTCAGAATGTCCATACAAAAAAGAAGGAAGACATGACTGGCAGTGTTGTTTTCAAACAGTTGCTAAACGCCTCGGTTCACTGATCACCTCACGGAAGGAAGCCATCTCTGCCGCGACTGTGGGGAGCAAGGCTTGTTGCAGTTTGATCAACAAATATGGAAGAAGTTGACCTCTTGAGACACAGCTCCTTCATTTGCATAATGAGGCAGAAATGCATACAGAAATGTAAAAGGAGACAGAAATAACTTTTGGGAAATAAATAGGGTAGAAAATGCAAAGGAAAAAATACAGAAAAATATTTTAACACGAATGTATTAATACATACATTTAAAAAATTAAGAAAATACATTCTTAATTTGTAAAGTAACTAGCAACTACAGCTGTCAAATTGTAGGGGAGTAGAAAGAATATTTTTATAAGAAAATTATTATTTCTAGTCTACTGAAATACTCAAAGTACCTCAACTTTGTACTTAAAGTACAGTAATTGAGTAAAGGTTCTTAGTTTCATTCCACCACTTTTCTTTCTCCAGTCTGCTGAATGTGATAACTTCTAATTCAACTTGTGTGGTTGAAGCCTTATTGATCAATAAATGGTTGAAGTAAAAACTAGGTGGAAAAAAACATGAACAACAACAAATAATTTTACAGATTTTACAGAGTATGTTACATTAGTGGCAATATTGAAATTGTCACCTTTTTTGTGTCATGTTGATTTTGCAGTATCCTTGTGCCTGAATGAATTAATGTTCAATTGATGAAATGAAAGATTACATGGTACCTGAGGCCAGTGAAAGGAAGACTGCCAGGATCCATCGCTGTGACGTCATGCTGCCTGATGCTCCCTCGCTATAGGAGAGCAAGAACTGGCCAAACGACCTGCCACATGGCTTAAAGAGGCACACACAAAAACACTGATCTGAACCCATTCATAGATGTGCACATTCACTTTCAATGAAAATACCAGGAAACTAAGAGATTAAAACAATTATACAATCAACTAACTGGCAATTAAGCTTAAGTAAATGATATTGCAATGCTAGAAAATTGTTTCCATCATCTTTTGTTTATTATTTAAGAAATTCCGGTATAACAATAATCCCTCCGGTACATACTATTGTGGGAATTTGAGTGCATGCGTGAAAGAGATCTTGAGAATGTGTTCAGGGGGCTTAAAGTTTAATATACTGTGAAGTCCCAAGCCACACAGGGTAACAGCCAGCAATAGTAATATAGTACATAAGTCTACAATGTTTTGTTAAGTACACAGGTTAGCAGTTAGCCACACACCAAACAATTCATGACTGCCAATTACAGATTACACAGTTTGAGTTGTAATATATATTTATTTGCTTTTAGCCATTCACTGCTTAAATGGAGTGCACACATTTTCACATTGTAGGATTAAGTAAATATTTTCCGTTACATTAATCATTCTTGTGTTACCATGCTGGAGAGATCTCTGTCCTGGTGGAAGAAAGGTGGGGCCAACAGTGGAGGTCTGTTATATACTGTGTGCTCCCAATCAAGCCGCACCATGTGCTGCCATGTTAGAGGGGGTTGTTGGGTTTTTTTTTTTTTTTTACTTTGTAGTAATTGTAGTTGTCGTCCATTTTGTTTTCCCCTTGTGCGTAAATTGGTTTGGCCAAGCCAATATATGTTCCCTTGTGTCTAGTTCAGTTCGTCTTCTGTTTGTTGTATGCAGTTTTTAGTGTACTTATATTTTGTTAACCTCTTTATAGGCCTTGATATTAAATGCGGGGACATGACTGAAAACATTTGAGAACCACTGGGCTAATTGGTCACACAACACTAGGTTTCCCAGTCCAGCCATAAACGCGTTCACTGCAATCGCAAACACTGACATATTTTACAAACAAAGAGCAAACTTTAATATAAGATAAATACGAAGAAATTAAACACACAATCCAGGTTTAAAGCAACACAGCTGCACTTCCACATGCAGATTGAACCCAATGGCTGGGGGGGGGGGGGGGGGGGGGGGGTGCTTCTGGACCTAGCCTCAGGCATTTAATAAACTAAACCTGCTTTGAGGTACAGACCCAGGATGGGTCAACCTCAAAACAGCTACTGTTCACTAACAAAGACCACACCAATGTGAGGTATGAAAAGGTAGTTTATTCGAATAATAAGGAGTATTTATGATGGCTGCATCGAGGATAGAGAGATGGAGGGATGAAGGAGGTTGTTAAGGGTTTGGTGGCCGAAGCAGATAGGAACCCGGGGATCGAGACTCAGGGTGGGGGCTTGTCTCAATAAGCGCCTTGTTTATCAACCCATCCTTGGTTCCTGTTGAAGAAAAAAGACAACAATAATTACTTAACATTGTGAAATGGTCACAGTTTGGCTAGGTTTACGCACCAAAACTACTTGGTTAGGCTATGCTTATAATACACTAGTGAGATACCTTAGTAGGCTACAAATCTGCTTGATTTCTGGTATAGCACTGCTGTCAGGTAACATTAAATTACTTACCCACAGACATTCAAGCTGTGAGTATTGCTGTCTGGAGCTGGTGTGCTGGCTCTGGTAAACCGCCTGCTCCTCAGAGGAGCTAGGAAGCAAATAGGCAGTGGTGACTAAGCAGTATCAAAGAGGAATTCGTATGGGTATCTTCCCTTCCCTTCCATCAAAGACCCAGGTATCGGGAGACACAGGTCCACCTCTGCATAAAAATGTCCATAGACAATTTTAGGCTTGCAGTCATTTACTCCATCATAGAAACATTTATCAGTCTTTGCACCCATTGGGTTATGGTTAGTTTTGCCTCTTTCCAGTTTTGCTGTTATCATTTTATTTGCTTTCAATAGAATAACCCCCAATATAGGCTATATCTTTGATCTGTATTACATAGATTTTTGGGTATGGCCCCCAGCAAAAACGATATCGGTTCTGGGGGGGCATCCACCCCTTAAATATTATCAATTTCTATTTTTAACATTCTCCTAAATACATTGGATTATCAGGGGTTTTCCTGGATCTGAATGGGCCTTTGGGGGGGTGACTTCGCGGGACAGTAAGCATGATCGGTATGCATAGACCTACAGTAAAGGCAGTGAGTTACCTCACACATAAATGTCAGAAAGTATCTAAGTCCCAAGAGAACAGCATATATGTCAGGGAGAAACAAAAAAAAGTAAGAAACAAAAACAAACAATGCAAGTAACACAGAACCAAACTTCCACTTCACCAATCTGATGCAGCAGCAGCTGAACTCTAACTGCGCCAAATTGGGGCAGAGAGGTGTGACCAATATTACACTAACATGCAAAAGAGGTCTGAACGAGTGTATTCCATAAATATAACTTAAGCAAAGCCTCCATCTGGAATATAGCCTATAGAACATAACCTTATTTTGTAAAGAGTTGTGACAGCATGGAACATTCAAATATTCGTCTCAATAATATAACAACGCTTAATGTTATTCCTGTACGTCCATTAGCAATATGGGGTTAATATCCTTACCACTGTTTTGATTGCAGCTAACTTTAGTCCACCTTTGTGGTGAAGTCACTTTAGTCTTCTCCTTGCCGAAAAGCCTTAAGATCGTTTCCCTCCCTCTCCTCTCTTGGTTCATCCATCCAGCTTTCAGGTCCTCCTCGATGCGCTCCCTCTCCCCGCATCTCACATCGATCCCAGCTCCTTGAGCTGTGTGCCGCTCTCGTTAGTGTTGGAAAAGTTTTCTCGCCAGTGTTCAGCTTAATCCTCAATTGTGCTGGGTACAGACATCTCGCCAGAATGTCCTTGCTTTATAACTTTGTGAACCCTCATCCGTTTCTGCTGCAAGCCGGGGGAGTAGTCCTGGTCAAAGTAGATCCGTTTGCCTTGGAAGAGAACTGGCCCCTGGCTCCGTGATTGCCGTATGATCGCGTCTTTAACCGCTGCGGTCTGTCTCTGAATAATCTGTAATTCGTTTGTATTTCAGCGTCGAAATATTGAAGCCTACGTGTCACTCTATTCTTCAGTTTCTTCCAGTGGAGCTCAGTTACTACACCGTTAGTCTGTCCATGACGTCACCGAAGCCCCACTAAAGTCTATTATAGGTAAATTTATTCCCCTACATGCTGCTCAAAGTAATCTCAGTCAGCGACTCCACCTCTCCTCTGGCACTGCAGGAAGGAGTGAGAGGGATGCTGTGGGTCTCTGTCGCTCTGAAACTTTACAAAAACACAGAAGGAGAACTTTGTAGTAATTTGAGATAATTTCATTCATCTGTCCTGAGAGATGTTTTTATTATCCCCACCAAGAGTGACATGAAAGATCTGCCCTCAAATTCAAAAAGACTTAATGATAACATCTGATTGATATGTGTCACCAACCTCAAACATAATGGGTGAAATATTAAGTTCTGTATTGTGAACAAACAGAGGTGTTTACTTTCAGGAAACACTGGTGAACCAGACAATGCATGGCATATTAAGGACAAGTGGACAAATGAGAGAAGAGGCCAGGGTGTATGAACCAGGATGTAATAATTTTTTAATTTGAATGTTTCACGTGCAGCTATCGTTGATATTTGTCATGGTATTGCATTTGATTGCATACCCCACCTTGAAACCTCATAATTCCTGCCAGAAATTATAACAAATGGTCAAATTAGTAAAAGATTAACACTGGTTAGCCACACAGTATATTGCCGCTTAAGGACATGTGGACAAATGAAGAAATGAGAAATAAGGCCAAGGTGAATGAACCAGGATGTAGTTATTTTTCAAACTGAATGCTAAGAAAAGTATCACATGATGTTTAAATATGTGTTCTGCAGCTACTCAGATTTCTTTTAATGCAAAGATTATACTTAGAGCTGCAAACTGAGAACGCTCATTAACTTAAATCAGAGAGGTGATAAAAGGATTAAGTGGCTTACATTAGCAGGCTACATTAAACCGGAGATATTTCAACCTAACCCACCGCTTTCACTTCAATTGGGATTCTTAGTGTGTGCAGATACTGAGGAGTACTCACTGCATATAATTAACCTGTAACTAGATACCTATAGCTGCAGTAACTTGGTATTGGTTGAAGATAAAACTAAATTCAAATTTAAATAGTATTGTAAGTAGTTAAATATGTTTATAAATCACTACAAAAACTGCATATAGTAAATGGTGGTTCTACCTGTTAATCCTTTTTCACAGAAACACAAAGATTTAACAGTTCGCACACAGCTTTGATTTTAAGGTAGAAAGTGAAGTTTGTGTAACAGTAAGAAAAAATTGTTATGGACATTGTGAAACCTTTTAGATTGTGATGATGTAAAGCTACATTTATAGATTTTTTGGTCACTAGGGACCAGAAGAACTCCAAAACAAACAAAGAGACCATGGCTAACACGTTAGCTACTTACCTACTGACACATTCAGCAGACACAGAACAACATTATCATGCCTTTGGAGTCAAGTTTCTGGCCACTGTTATTCACTGGCCTTAAACAGGTTTATCGTTTGGTTTATAGCCATTTGGCAGGACAGCCCACAAGACACAGTGAGAGACACGTCACAACAGAGGTACAAAAATGAATAACTCAATACATTTCATAATAGCCTACATTAACAAAATTGACCTGGGGGGAAAAAATATGAATGAGGCCTTAATCAACACTGTCATTACATAACAACCTGCATTCTCCCTACAAGGCATGTGTGTGGATAAAACATGTGATACTTAATATCTTCAGGTGGCCAGTCAAGTGTTTTTCCTCCATTTCCTTGGGTATTGAAGGCTGTGTTACAGCTAAATATAAAAAGAAATGATCAATGAGAAAGCCACGGCACATGTGTAAGTGAATTTAAATGCCTCACTTGCACACATTTTTGTTGGTGTGCAGCAGCCTGCACTGCAGAGAACATGGCACAGATGAAAACCAACCTGACCAATGTAATTGCATTTGACACAAGACATGCACCTAATTTAAATTGTTTAGAAGTCTTTAGATCAGACCAATGCCCTACGTGGTTAAAGGAGCAGAGGCGGCAAGTTCAACTTGATTCAGGAAACAGATGTTAAAGTTAAAGTGTTCCGGTAATTTAAGTCTAAAAGTGAAACTTTCAAATGTTTTATTCATTGCACATGAAGTGAAATATTTCAGGGCTGGAAATCAAAACCCATCCATCCATCATCAACCGCTTATCCTGTGTACAGAGCTGGAGCCAATCCCAGCTTACATCAGGCAAAAGGCAGGGTACACCATGGACAAGTTGCCAGTCCATCATAGGGCCACATATAGACAAACAACCACTCACAATTTAGGAGACACCAATTAACCTAGCCTGCATGTCATTGGATGGCAGGAGGAAGCCAGAGCACCCAGAGAACATGCAAAGAAAGGCTGGGGTACCGGGCTTTGAACCCATGACCTTCTTGCTGTGAGGTGCTAACCATTCTACCACCGCGCCGCCCAGAAATCAAAGCCCATATCTCAAAATATTAGAATATAAGAATGAAAAATGTACAATACAGAAATTCCAACCTACTGAAAGGTTGAAAAGTTCTGAAAAAAAGTTGAATTTATGCACTCAGTACTTGGTCTGGTCTCCTTTTGCATGAATTACTGCATCACGGTGGCGTGGCATGGAGGCAATACATCTGAGCACTGATGAGGTGTTACGGAAGCCCTTGTTGCTTTGATAGGGCCCTTCAGCTCATCTGTATTTTTGGGTCTGGTGTCTCTCACTGTCCTCTTGACAAACCCCACAGATTCTCTAGAGTTTCAGGTCAGGCGAGTTGGCTAGTCAGTAAAGCACAGTAACACCATGGTCAGCAAACCAGTTCCTAATGTTTTTGGCACTGTGGGCAGGTGCCAAGTCCTGCTGGAAAGCATCTCCACAAAGCTTGTCAGCAGATGGAAGCATGACGTGCTCTAAAATCTCCTGGTAGACAGTGCAGTGACTCTGGATTTGATAAAACACAGTGGCCCAACACCAGCAGACGACATGGTACCCCAAATCATCACTGACTGTGGAAACTTCACTCAAGCAACTTGGATTCTGTGCTTCTCCACTCATCCTCCAGACTCTGGGACCTTGATTTCCCAAATGAAATGCAAAATTTACTTTCATCTGAAAAGAGGACTTTGGACCACTGAGCAACAGTCCAGTTCTTTTTCTCCTTAGCACAGGTAAGACATTGTCTCTGGTTCAGGAGTGGCTTGACACCAGGAATACGACACTTGTAGCTCATTTCCTGGACACGTCTGTGAGTGGTGGCTCACGATGCACTGACTCCAGCCTCAGTCCACTCCTTTTAAAAATCCCTTGACTTCTTGAAAAGGCTTTGCTTGACAATTCTCTTAAGGCTCATCCCTGTTGCTTGTGCACCTTTTCCTACCACACTTTAACTTTCTAGTCACCTTTCCATGATTATGCTTTGATACAGCACTCTGCAAACAGCCAGCCCTTTCAGCAATGACCTTCTGCGGCCTCCAGGTGGAGGGTGTCAACGAGTGTCTTCTGGACAACTGTCAAGTCAGATGTCTTCCCCATGATTGTGGTTGAGTGTACTGAACCAGACTGAGAGATCGAAGGCTCTTCTCAGGTTGACATTTCTGTATTTATTCTAATATTCGGAGGTATAGAATTTTGATTTCCATGAACTATTTCAGTTTATATGTTATGAATCTAGAATATATAAAAAGGTTTCACTTTTTGACTTAAATTATAGGAAAAAACAAACTTTTCCACGATATTCAAATTTTCTGATGCACTTTTATATTAATCAGAGACAGCCAGTGGAGGGAGCCCTCTCATCTGTCTATAACAGACATGCTTCATTGGCATGTTTATGAGTCAATTGGAGAGCAGCACCCACGTGTGCTTTCCACTGTCCACCGTTTTAGATTTGTAATACAATATTTATTTTTTCCTTTTATAAATAAAAGCACAGCAAATAATAAATTTTTTGGGCAATTGTATGCCAAGGTCATGAGATCCATTCATCCATCCATCCATCAATCATTATACAGAGTACAGGGTCGCGGGGTCCCAGCTGGCAAGGTCATGAGATATGAAGTGAAAATATTTAGCTTCATTCTCTGAGAATGTGAGCAAACATTCTTCAGTATTCAAGTATGTGGAAACTATAGGCTGATGTTGGTGCTAGTGGAAAGGTTAGGGGTCATCAGCATTTTCAGCAGCGATCCTTATCCAAATTTTAGATCTTAGTCTGTCAAGTGTTAGAGAGCTCGACAGAACTACCTCCATGGCTAGACATCATCATTTTTTTGTTATTTCCATGAAACAACCCTTTAACTTCTGGAAGACTTGGGAATAGGAGTGATCACAGCCGGAGCAGTGTGGCTACCAATATATACTTAGGGTGAAAAGGTGTGAACTGCACAGAAAGAAGATACATACTACAAACTGGAGATTAGTAAATGATTAATTTTATTTTCTTATTAGAAATCTATAAAATCTGAATACATTAGAATTTGATTTGGAAATCTAATGGACACATTACAGCATTGTTTATTCTTGGCTCTGGCCTGTGCCGTCAGTACTTTTCAGCACTGGTCACCACAGCCTCTGCACTCACAGCTGGTGACATGCCTGTAAGAGAAGAATCTGGTCGTGAGGTCGAAGCATTGCAGGGTCACAGATCTCCTCTCGGAGCTCCGCTCCCGACAGCATCTGTGCTTCTGCTCCACCTGCAGGTCACCCTGTAACACGACCCTGTTGCAGTGACAGTACCGGAGGGGAGGAGAGTGGGAGCGGTGGGGAAAGTAAAAATTCAGGAAAGTTTCTTCTTGTCAAAGAGACAATGAAACACATCTATTGTTGAGTTCTCACTGAACACTAATCTTCAAAATGTGTTAATGTTACTGCTGATCAGTGATCAGGTATAATTCTTCTCACCTGGGTTCAGACATGCATTGGCCCTGACACGCAGGCATCTGCATGATGGTGGTACAGTTGTCTACGGTGACGTTAATACTGGTCACCTTCGGAGCACAGCTTTGGATACCTGGAGTTAGGGGAAATTAATATGTGAGCGTCATGCGAGTGTGAGCGACAAATTTGAAGATATTTTCCCCCTTTATAGAGTCAAATATTAAACATCCAACATTTGAATATTGAAAATTGTTAAAACTAAAATGTCAAAACTCTACAGACTGAAAGAAAGTCAATGTGACAAAGTCAGCAGTTATAAATGACTTCAGTATTTTGATTTTGACTTAACTTACATGTAAAGCAGCAGTGCTCGTCATCCCAAATTCTGTCCTCCTGTGAATAAATAAACAGCACAAGATCAAATGGTTATTGTTCTACTTTTTCTTTCTACACCCAATGAGAAATTTTTGTTCCAATTTGTAATTTCAATAAAAGCTATAGCCCCCTGGAGCAGCTCTACGTAATACTTCCAATCTATCTATTGTAAACCATTCTTTAGCTGGTGGGAAATGCAGTAACAAGTTATTTCTGCATAATGAGACTGGTAAGATGTTACTAGGGTGTGTAGTACCTCCTGACAGTTTTCTGTTGGACAGACTCTAGTCTCAGTCTTAATACCCTCTTTGCTGCAACTGAATGAAATGCAGGAATGGGCAGCATCCTTCCATCTGTCTCCCACCTACACACACAAAGATAGATATCACGACAAGACACTTTACAGTACAGTGATTCATTTAAATCCAAAATGCACTTTTTCTCTAAAGGAGAAGAAACACTTTTCTTCCTTTTGTAATGATTATAATAATGAGATTGGACACAACATACCTTGTATGTTTTTTCATGATATCTGCATGTCTTCTCAACTGAAAAATAACACATGTAGTAATAAGTGCCTAGGTACATAGGCCCAGATTTACTAAAGGTTTGCGTGAGTAACAATGTGTGCAAACTTGATCACCAGCAGATTAACACGTGGGGTTATTCTACTAACGTGTGCACGCACAATGACGTCTTTCAAAAGTGCAAGATAGCGCCTGTTGTTCTACTTTTGCCTTAATGAAAATGCAATTTGGGACGTTTAATTTTATTGTGCAAAGTAATGGGAGGGTAACATGCAATTGCCTTTATTTACCACACTCAATGTGATCTAACAAGCCTAAACATAAATTTCAAGTGAGTGCTATTTATTTAATACATTTGAAAGGGAGGTGCAAACCACCAAGTGTTGCGCAGAGAGGGCTGCTATTGCCACAATCCATTGTAGATATCAGAGAGGGAATGGGGCGTTGGGGCGTACTTGGCCAGGGACAAGAGGTAACGGAGCGACCGGGCATAGTGCGGACGGTCAGTGATTGTTTCATCTGGCTGGATGAAGCACAATCTGCTGGCATTTCCTCACATCTGGGTCATTCCAGCATACTGTAGCTGTTTCTGCTGGGGTTTCGCAAAGCAGTTTTTCAGGTGTGCTGTCCCAAGTACTCAGTGGTTTTTACGCAGTGGCTGCTTTCCCTCCTGACTCTCCACGACGGAAACCATTAAAACACGCAAAACCCTCATTTAAATACTCCCACCTCCATTGTGTTTGCTCCTGTTGTCATCTACGCAATAATTCTTAGCAAATCACCCATAACAGATACTACAATTGCATGTGCAATATTTTAGAATGCAACGCAATTCAGTACTCTTTATTCAGGATGTTAGTAAATCGGGCCCATAGTATTTGTACATGAAAAGGCGAGTCCAGTTCTTACCACAAGTCTGATCACCACAGCAAGAGGTGTTTACCAATACAGCATCAGGGCTACATATGGGAGCTGGCTCAGGAGGTTTTGGAAGACACTCCTCTGTCCGAGTCTGGTTGTTACATGTACACAGGTTACAGCCGGACTGCCACACCTCACCAGGCTGGAAGACATGCATGGAAATACTTTCTTAAAATCTAGAATCCAGTCTAGAGCCAGATTTATTACTATCTTCGCACTGATGAGAAAGATATTTACCAGTCTGGGCTCACCAAGTGGTCCTTTACAATCTGGTGGAAGAAAACAAACACTACATTAACCCCATTTATAACTAAATATTGAGATGTATAACTCCTGCACATGATCTGTAAATAAGAAGTTTTGCCAGTGCATCAAAAAGTATTGCACTGCATAAGATATCAAGCAAAGTGTGTCTAGGTGGGTCTACTGTAGGACATGTTACTCACACGGACAGTCAGACACACAGATATTTGAGTACGGTCCTGCCCTGAACTGGCCGCTGGGACAGAAACAGCCTATGGCGTTCTTCTCAAGGACGGCTCCTGGATAAAGTGCTCTGTACAGCCAAACCAGAAAAGAAAGAGAAATGGGGAAAATCTTGACAGGACAGAAAATCTTGAAACAAATGTGCTTGGATGATGTTCTTTGGTAAAAGGAAACTTTACAAACCTTCCATCGCAGACGTCATCCAGCTTGTTTTGACATTCTCTGAAAACCAATCCTTCTGGACACGGCACATCTGAAACAGTGCATTTTAAGGAGGAATTTATTGTCTTGTTGTGCAAACAAACAAGACAATAATCTGTCCACGGTCTGACTGGCTTTGCTTTACAGAGTATAAAAAATACTTACCACACCTTCCATTAGTTAGATTTCTCCAGTCAACACAGAAACCAGCATTTTTGCACTCGTCAGCAGCTTGCTCTAGTGAAGAACAAGGGCCACTCCTGCATGAATCAAACTCACAGTTGCTCTTCTTAAGGATCAGATTCACATACGTCCTGCATTCTGAAAAGACTCTGAGGAAACAGAAGAGATAAGATAGATACATTTTTTTATTCAGTAGTTCAGGAATAGACAACTCAAAACATAGAGAGATTTGCTTTTATGACCTACAGTACAACTGTAGTACATATGTACAAAACACTTATTCCCAATTCTATCACCTATTCCCTCACAAGGTCTGTGTGTGTTCGTGCAGCTTACGGATGGTTTAGCAGCTCACATAGTCGGCTCCCAGGACAGGAGGTGGTGACAGTGGGGGTGTTAGTGGGTGGTGGAGTGGTCACTGGGTGACAAGGTACGTTCCTTGGTGCAGAACACAGGCTGGCTTCAGCGGGTCAGGATAAACCCAGTCATAGGCCGTCTTATCACAGCAGCTGTCGTCCTCAATCTGGCCTCCTTTACGGACACATGATCCAACGCCACATACACCTGGAGGGTAGATTGAGAGGTAAGCTTCAGCAAAAGAAGATGTCTGATTTAAAGTCTATTATACACAGATTTTAATTGAAAAACACTCATTCCAAGCTATACATTAGTTTTAACAGTGAGGATGGCAGCATCTCATATATCTTAACTATAGCTGGCACCCTCATGGTCCACAAAAGAATTGGCTCAGCACAAATTCCTAAATATACAGTAAGTAAGAAAAACATTCCCATAACATTATATATTTAAATCATCTGATGAAGAAGATCTATTTTAAAATCTAAGTTATTGCCACACAACCAGCTGGTCTAAGTGTTTTCAGAAATTTGATATCAAAAGGTGCAGATTTGAATTGCTGTTTCATTCTGCCCTGTATTGGTCAGAATTTTTTATGCAGCTTCAAGATTAACACACTTTTTGCGTATGTTAGCCTACAAGCTAATTCAGCAAAGCAGCCGACAGAAGAGTGACAGATGAGATAAAGATAATAGGTTTACAAAAAAATGTTTTGCATTACCTGGAAATCCACTCTACACAGACAACACATACTGTGAAATTGGATATACAGCATGCACTTAACACAGGTGGACCCTCCCTTTCAATCCATTACCCACCACATTGTCCTTGGGTGTTGTTGAGGAAGTGCTCCATGGCTAGACTGGCCACCAGGGTATAATACGGACTGAGGGAGACATAAGAGCGGATCTCTGGGAGGTAGATAGACACCATGTACCCCGTGGTCTCAAACCTCCACCCAGGTGTCTCATATGGCGGCTTTATGGCGGCATTGTTCAGAGTGGCCTAGGGCAGATTAGATAAGTATCAAAGCAACTGTCTTATCCTTTCTATAGTGTATGGCAGCCTTAAATAGCTTTATTTAAAGATATCCTACATCACAGAAAATGATTCTCAGCATCTATGTTGCCAAATATGTACACAGTGACATGACATACTATAAATAAATTGAAAGCTGCATTATATCCTACCTGTACTGCAAACAAATCTGGATTGATAGTGAGTGTAGCAGTACTGTTCTGATATTTCAGGATGATGCCTTTAGCACAGGAGCCTTCAATGCCTGGCACACAGTCGAAGTTGTCAACAGCAATGGTCAGATTATGGAGTGGTGACCTTTCCTCCATCAGGATGTAGGTGCAGTCGTCTAAGAAATTAAAGTTTACTCCTTGGAAAGAGATGTAGTGGGGATCCCCATATAGCTCACAGCGACCTTGGGACAGAATGGGGAAGTAGGAGAGATTAAAAATAATATAAAAAATAATTAGCTAGCCACATGGCTCAGTCTGTCAATTCACCACTTTGGTCCAGACTGAAATATATCAACAGCTATTGGATGGATGGCTATTCAAGTTCAAGTTTATTTATCTAGCACATTTAAAAACAACACTAGTTGACCAAAGTGCTTTCCACAATACACAACAAATATACATGACAACAACAGTAGAAAAAAAGTCACTCTGTTTGAAGGCCAATGAAAATGTCAGGAGTCCGGGCAACTCTTATTTCAACAGGTAAAGAGTTCCAATTAAGGTGTTTTCAGACCAAAAGCGAAGCGAGCATTTGGGGCGGTGGGTTTACATAGAAAGTCAATGCAAAGACACGTAGAGCAGCGACTTCCTGTCGGGCGGCGCGAAGCGACGCAAAGGGGGCGGGGCCGGCTTCTGCTCTGAAAACTACACCGTTTACTCGCAGGAGGAGCTCAGAGTTAACTGCTTTTATTAAATTAGCTTTTTACTTTAGTTTTTGGGATTACAACGTTGATTTATCTTCACTGGAGCTTCTCAGCAGCTAGCTTCCGTGCACATCCGGTTCCACTGTTGTTGAGTGTCATTAGCTCTGTCGGACTACAACTTCATATTTATATAAAAACCGGAATAGAATAGCCCTGACCGATCCATACTCCATTCAGAAAACAAACATTTTAGAAGTTGTTGTCCTGCTGTCTTGCTGACAGACATGACAAAGCATGAATTCATATGTTTAACAAATCTGCTTGTTGTAGTTATTTTGGCATCATTTTGATCTATTTATTTCTATTTAATCACAGCAAAATGTTTACTTTGGGTTCATACAGCTGTAGTAATGGCAAGTTGTGTTTAAAATTGCCTTCTCGTCTTGTATGTGAACACTTGCAGCAAATGTACTCACGCGAGGAAAGCATCGCAAGGAGAAAATTCACATTTGGTCTGAATGCGGCATAACTAAACGATGGAGAGATGACTGGTCTACTCCAAGATACAAAGACTTTCAGTAGTCTAGTCGAAACGTTATAAATGTATGAATTACACTTTCAAAGTCTTTGCTAGGCAAGTAGGGCTTGATTTTGGCCAACATTCTCAACTTTAAAAGCACTGTCGAAGATCACACCTAGATTCTTGGTAAATGGACGACTATATGTTACTAAAGTACCAAGAACGTCTACACAAGCACTTAAATCCCCAGGTCGGCCGAACACAACAATCTCAGTCTTACTTTAATTCAGACGAGAAAGTTCTGATTCAACCATATTTTAAGATCTCTCAGGCAGTTAAGCAAGGACAAATAGATTTTTATATAATCTGAAAAGCAATGAAAGGAGATATTGTGTTTTTTGAAAATGGACGCCAATGGCAACATGTACAGTGAAAAAAGCATGGGGCCCAATATGGATCCTTCGGGGATCCCACAAGAAAGAGGGGCAGCAGATGAAGAAAATTCACCGAGGTGAATAGAGAAACTTTTATCCGCCAGATATGATTTGAACCATTTGAGGGCTATGCCCCTAATGCCGACACACTGTTCGAGTCGGGATAGGAGAATGGAGTGATTAACCATATCAAAGGCTGCAGTCAAATCTAAAAACACTAAAACAGCAGAGTTTCCAGAGTCAACAGCTAAAAGAAGATCATTAAAAAGTAAGTAAGAGTTGATAAAAACCACTCTCTCCAAGACTTTTGACAAAAAGGGAAGCTTAGTGTCTAAAATTAGAGAGAATTGAAGTATCCAGATTCTTCTTTTTAAATGCAGTTGCACAACAGTGTGTTTGAAAGCAGCTGGAACACACCCTGAGCTGAGAGATGTATTAACCAAAGTGACAATGCTTGATTCAACAGTGTTAAAAACATCTTTAAAAAAGCGTGCAGGAATACTGTCAAGGGGGCAGTTTGCAGGATGTAGTTTTTTAACTGTGTCAGAAAGAAGGTGGAAGACAGCTGGGCAGACAGGGGGACAGAGGGGTCACTGGTAAATGAAGTTCGGAGTTCTGAGAATGAATTGAACTCACCAGCACGAAGCCAGGTTTCTGTCGGAAACATAAAATCGAACTCCCGTGAAGTGAAGAAGTCATTCAGCAGAAACGTCTTGTTAGCTAGCGATCTTACATTAATCAGAGCCAAAAGAAGAGTACGATCCTCACTGGCCAAAGGCGCCGCACGATCCAGCGGGCAAAGGTTCAATGAATCCACACCACCTCTGCAGGACCGAATCCGCATAGGATAAGAGGTAACAGAGGTAACTGTCAAGATGGGCGGAACGGGATGGAGCCATCGGCCTCGCACCTCCAGCAATCACCATGCGGCAGGAGCGTAGCATTCATTGTAAGGACACGTCATATCTGTAGATGCAATGTAAGCCTTCTATCTGACCAGCACACCTCCACGCTTTCCCCGTCGCCTGATGGAAGGCGCAGATACACTGGTATACCCGCCAGAAAGGGAGGAGGACTCGTAATCCAATAATCTCTTAAATCATGCCTTCTAAGTATAAAACTTACAACAGACATTTATGTTCTCCACAGGATTGATTGTAATAACCTTGGTGACCCCTTAATGTTTCCTCTAGTACCATCATATGGTCAAACCTTCCAATCTGAGAGTTTCTTAAACACAAAAGTGAAAAAAGGAGGGATAAATGAGGTTCTAACAAGACCAGTGGCAGAGACAGACATGAATGCACTTACAGTCACACTTCCATGTTTCACAGCATCCATCCTGCACTTTTATGGTCAGTTGTCTGGGGCAGATGGGAATTGTAGACTCTGGACAAACCACTGGAGTCGACTCAATTGTTCCATTTCTACAGGACTTATCGTAGCAGTCCTCTGTCCACTTCTCACCGTCACACCAGGTTTTGTTCCGCTTCAGGTCTTTACACACACTACACACTGCTTTGAGAAACACAACAGCAGAAGATAGTAAACACAGAAAAGACAAAAACATTTAGGTAATTTATGGAACTGACATCTTGGATAATTGAACAAAAGAGTAATATGCAGAATAGAGGACGCACATTGAGGTGTGGTGCGGAATGTTGATGTGACTGCTGTTTCCGTTTCAACATTTATTGTAGTCTCCGTTGGGTTGGTGGCTACTGAAGTGTGGTTTGTTATTTCTAACGTTGTCATTGTTGTGCCTGGTTCATCATCAGTTCTTGTCGTCAGTTCAGTGGTAGTTGCATTGGTTGTAGCCACCTTGGTGGTAAATGTTGTTGGTGGCATCAGCGTAGATTTAGTTGTTGTTGTTGTTGCTTCGGAGGAGGTGGTAGGTTGAGTGGTTGAATGTGTAGAAGAGGTAAATGTTTCAGTGGAAACTTCTGTGCTCGTTAGTTCAGTCGGACCTGAGGTTTCAGTAGGTGTAGCATTAGTTGCAAAGGTGGTTGTTGATTGAAGTGTTGTTGCTGTTGTCTCTGTATGTTTTGTTGTTGGCTTAGTTGTGTCTGTTGTGTATGACGTGGTAAGCAGAGTGCTAGGAGATTCAGTCTGTAGCTCAGTTGCAGTAGATTCTGTGCCATTTGTTATCATTGTAAGCTGTGTTGAGGCAGCAGTTGTCACTGAAGTGGTACTCATTCTAGTTGTAGATGTGGTGGTAGAGTTATTTGTTGACAGTGTTTCAGTCGTAGTTAAACCAGTTGTAGTTGTTGGTGTAGTGGTGGAAGAAAGCACAGTTGACAGATTGGTAATATTCGTCACTGGTGTAGAGATGAGGGGGGCTGTTGTTGATGATGTTTCAGCCGTTGTTAAATCAGTTGTAGTGTTTGTTGTAGTGGTGCTGGAAAGAACAGTTGTTTCAGTGGTAGGTGAAGTACTTGTAGATGTTGGTGTAGAGGTGGAAGAAAGCACAGTTGACAGATTGGTAATATTCGTCACTGGTGTAGAGATGAGGGGGGCTGTTGTTGATGATGTTTCAGCCGTTGTTAAATCAGTTGTAGTGTTTGTTGTAGTGGTGCTGGAAAGAACAGTTGTTTCAGTGGTAGGTGAAGTACTTGTAGATGTTGGTGTAGAGGTGGAAGAAAGCACAGTTGACAGATTGGTAATATTCGTCACTGGTGTAGATATGAAGGGGGCTGTTGTTGATGATGTTTCAGCCGTTGTTAAATCAGTTGTAGTGTTTGTTGTAGTGGTGCTGGAAAGAACAGTTGTTTCAGTGGTAGGTGAAGTACTTGTAGTTGTTGGTGTAGAGGTGGAAGAAAGCACAGTTGACAGATTGGTAATATTCGTCACTGGTGTAGATATGAAGGGGCCTGTTGTTGATAATGTTTCAGTCGTAGTTAAACCAGTTGTAGTTGTTGGTATAGAGGTGGAAGAAAGCACAGTTGACAGATTGGTAATATTCGTCACTGGAGTAGAGGTGATTGTAGGTGATGTAGTGGTGGTTGAAGGCACAGTTGGTTTAGTGGTGGTAGATGGCACAGTTAGTTTAGTGGTGGTGGAAGGCACAGTTGGTTTAGTGGTGGTGGAAGGCACAGTTGGTTTAGTGGTGGTGGAAGGCACAGTTGGTTTAGTGGTGGTAGATGGCACAGTTGGTTTAGTGGTGGTAGATGGCACAGTTAGTTTAGTGGTAGTTGAGGCAGGTGTGGTGGAAGTTTTTGGTTCAGGAGTTGATGATTGAGCTGTTGAAGAATAGGTGGAATTATGGTCTGGTGTTTTTGAGAAACAGGTTCTGTGAAAAGCTCATATTATAATCTAAAATATTTAAATTGTCACAAAGTCGATATCATATTTTTGTATAACTGGTAATAGGAATGTAGTAATAGTAAATGTAGCAGTACATGAATATAAATCATACTTACAACACTTAATTGTTCCATTTTCACAGCGGCTGACGAGGTTAATATAAGAGAGAAAAAAATATCCAGTTGTCCAATAATGATGTAACGAATAATGAAATGTTCACCTTAAAAACACACACACACATATATATATACAATATTATATATAGCCCAACTTACCACTTAGTAAATTGATTCTGCCACACTACTCCAGCTTGGATAATGGTGTCATTAAAATAACAGGTGCAGTTTGTCAATGTGGTGCATTCACCAGTATTTTCATCATAGTATGGCGCCTCCTTCGAACATCTGGGGTAGCAGCCTTTTCCAAGAACAAACAATTTTATTTTATGGGCACAAGGCTTTAATAAAGCCAAGGCTAAAAAAAAGTTCAGCTGTTAAATTTGAATAACACTGAGAAAATGTGGTTACCTTCCAGCTTGTGAGGGATGTATTTGCCTTCTCTGCAGGTTAGCATCTCACCACATGCTTCATAGTGCCAGCTACACTCACCCTGCTCGTTGTAGTAGTCACAGTAGACAGCTAAGATTAAAATGATCACAGCTTAAATTACTTTACGTTTTGCAGTAATAAAAACACTTCATCATTCCATTGTTGGCTATAGAGATGTCTCTTGCATAGTGTCCGTCATCTGCGTAGTGACAAAAACATACTTAAATATTTATACACTTTGCACACTTTGTAAATTTTATAAAGAATGTTAAATTCAGTGAAATGACACTGGCTATTTACTTTTAAAATGTGCGTAATGTTCCGTATGTGCCAAGAAAGCTAATACATCTTTAGCAATCTTAGCATAGCCCGCTGAAAAAGTATTGTTAAAATGCCATGACATAACGGTCCCCTTTCATGAAAACCGGTATCAAAAATCAACTGAGTAGAACTTATCTAATCAAGACGTTCTCTTTATGGGTTTAAGTTAGAAGTTATTCTAAAATGTAACATTAATGTTACCTCCCTGCTCACCATCTGAAAAGAAACGGCTTTAAGAGTTAAGTTCAAACTAATGCTTGAAATGTTGGGGAGGCTGCAACTTACGACACAGATCAGGTGTTCTCCAGTTTACACACACATCCTGGTCACTGCAGGCTTCCGCGTAGGCTGCCACGGCTGTGCAGAAGCCCAGGAACTTCCCTTCAAACTCACAGGAGCAGGCTTCCTGCACACAGGCATGGTAGTAGGGCTCTGGATCCACCTGGGGGTTGTAGAACATCCAGAATACAGCTTAACACTTTAAAGGGTTCTCTGTAAACAGTTGTTGTATCATATGCTTGTAGATTTAGATAAAATTGTTGAGTGGTGACTCTTAGCTCAAAGGTATTTGTTCATTTATGATCTTAGTCCCTTCAAGATGTCTGCTTACTTTCTATGCCAACCTGCTTCCAAGATGTAATGCAATAAAAGACCTACACGGGAATTGAAACGCTGGCCCTGGTGTTAGGGGCATGCTAAATAAGTCAAATGCATACTTTTAAATGGCAGTCTCTGAATTTGTCTCCTGTAAGGATCATACAGCGCCGCTGGGCCCAGGCTGAGCAGTAGGAGTTGCGTTCGCATGGAAATATCTCAGAGGTCACATCAGAACAAGGAGGTGTGGCGGCTTTCCAGCTGTTGCCAAACACCAGAGGACTGGACGCCACTAAAAACAGATTGTTGGTGTTATTTTGACCACCAAGACAGAAATTTGACTGCTTCATAGAATAAAGAGAAAACCACTATACCTGATGAGCCACTCATCGCTAGGTCATTCCTCTCATTGGAGTCAAAATTGCCACAGAGGCCACACACTTGGTTCTGCAGGAGAGATGTTTAAAAAGTCAAAATGTCTTGAAAAGTTCTGAAATTACATTTACATTTACATTTACTCATTTGGCAGACACTTTTATCCAAAGCGACTTACATTTGAGGAACAACATACAAACATCTGAACCATTTGTAGGGGTTTCACTGCACAAGCTGGAAGACCTACTAGGAGGGCATCGCAATGGTCGAGGCGAGAGATAATCATGGCCTGAACCAGAAGCTGGGTGGCGTACTGAGTGAGGTAGGGCCTGATTTTCCTGATGTTGTATAGAGCAAAGCGGCACGACCGAGAGACAGCAGCAAAATGGTCTGAAAAGGACAGCTGGTCATCAATCACAACACCCAAGTTTCTCACCATCCTGGTTGGAGTGATGGTTGAGGAGTCAATTTGTAGTTTGATGTTTTGGTAGATAGATTGCTTGGCTGGAATGACCAAGATTTTAGAGAGGTTTAAGTTGAAGGTTGAAGGTAGCGAGCCTTCATCCATGCAGATATGTCCGAGAGACAGTCTGTGATCTGCGCCGAGACGGTGGGGTCGTCTGGCAGGAAGGATAGGTAGAGTTGCGTATCGTCTATGTAGCAGTGGTAAGAGAAGCCGTGCTAGCAAATGATGGCCCCAGTGAGGTGGTGTAAAGTGAGAAGAGAAGGGGCCCTAGCACTGAGCCTTGGGGCACCCCTGTGGAGAGGCAGTGGGAGGAGGATAATTGTCCTTGCCACAAAACATTGTAGGAACGCCCCGAGAGGATTCAAACCACAGGAATGCTTACACTGCATACATTACATTTGAAATTAAAAAAAGGAGGGAGGATGACTATCAGTAATGATCAATGCTTAAATATAGTGTATTTTCTGATGCTGACTTTAGCAGAAAGTACAAGGAAAATTAGAAGACATTAACCAATTGAACAAAATGTGGATTTTAAATTAATTTTTAACCTTGTTATTAGCAGTGTCTGATATTTTCTGATTTACACTTAAGATCAAAGCGTTTAATGTGACAAATTATATATAAATTACTAGATTTAAAAACAATCCAATCACTCACCCTCCATTTTGCTTGCAGCTCTATGGTGATGCGGGTGTGTTTGTCCCAGATCAGAGTTATACCTCTACTTGGCACTGAGATTATGTTGTAGAGTCCGACAGTGTGTGTGGAGAAAAATGACTCTTTCTGCGGAGTCCAGCCATCATGGTAGTGTCTGGTCACCCTCATGTCGCTCAGTGTCAGGGTGACCATTCCCTTTTAGGACAGAACAAATCATTGTATGGAAATATTTTTTATTGTTGATGAACAAGTTACTTGACATTTTTTTTTCATTGACCTTTTACAGTATTGGCCATCAATTCAGTCAGTACTAGTACTACTCTGAATTATCTGAGTGTGTGAAAACTTACTGAGTGAAACATGTAGTTGAGGAAGTGTGTGAAGCAATGGGATAGAAATAAAGTGAATAAAGAAATGGATATTACAGTATTATTTAAGATAATGAAGACTGAATAAACATGGGGATAATAGCTCGGGGTCTTAGTGAAGAAAAATGGTTAAAAAATCTACCTGCAGGTCGAGGATGATGGAGCGAGAGCAGGTGAGCGCCTCATCACAGCAGGGTACACTCTCAACTCTGACAGAAAAGGTACCGTTTCTAATTCCACAGTAATCCTGAAGTAAAAAGATCAGTCTTTATAAAAATACTTTGTATTTAATATTTTGGTGGGGTCCTTTGAAAGAGATTTGCAAAGAAACATGTAAGCAGTGGATTTCATTCCAACTTTCATGTTTGCTCTCACCTCTACAAGTGTGTACTGACAGTGTCCATCAAAGCGGTACCATTTGGAGTCAAAAGTCTGGTAGTGTCCGTTTCCGTAAACTTGACACTTCCCAGGACAAGGCTCATCTTTGCAGTTCCACTGACCCCGACCACAGACGCTGTAAGATAGAATGATGTAAACCTCTGCATCATGGCTTCATTAGGATTTGAAGGAAGCAGCAAAGCAGCACAAATGCAGGCGTTACCATGTTTTGCACTTGGTTTTGACAGTCTGTCCTGCACGGTACACATTGCCACTGTACACACAGGTGCAGTTGTCCAGAAAAACGCAGTTGCCATGGTGATCCTCATACTGGTCATGTGGGCAGTAACAGCCACTCTCGCAGGTCCTGCTGGTGTCCTGGAAACCAAAAGAAAATCTTTTAGCTCAAGGATACATTTGACCCATCACAATAAAAGAAACCTGATTTGGAGAAATGGTAAATGTTAGGGATGCCTTTTACTGACAGAAAGTTAATGTAAAACTAAAATGACAGATTTCAATATCAGCTGCTCTCAATCGTGTCATCAACACATCACCAGAAAAAGCTAATAAAGCTAATAAAATAATAAATAACCTATTATTAATCTTACCAGGCAGTTAATCAGCTGCTGCTACTAACAAATATATATGAATGAATAATGCAAGTAATGTACATAAAAATATCTGTTGACCTACCACTGGTTTGCTGAGACTGTCACAGGTTTTCTGAGTCGTCTTAACTGGATCACTGGAGCAATGAACACAAACCTTCCCGTTTCTGCACCCTGATGCAAACAATCATTAAAAATATAAAAACAGTGTGTTGATTAAAATTCAGAAGGTTTGACGCAATCAAGTTTTCTATTTTTTTGCGGTGAAGTTCCACTATTAACAAACTAATTAAGTTCAAACAATTGCGTAAAGACTATGATAGTATATATTTACCACAATCTTCAGAACAGCTCAGTTTTCCATTCTCACAGCAGCTGCAATAGACAAAGTTTGAGATACAAGACTGAACTACAACAGCATTGGGAAGACTTGGTTAGAGCACACAGTGGGTAACAGCTTACAGGGAAAAAACTACAGAAGTGAAAATGTCAAGTTAAATGATAATTAAGCATTTTAAATGGCTGTCAATACTCAGATAAACAGCTCACCACTTTCGTCCGTCGATAACCCCACACCCTGGAAGCATTGTACCCCCCTGGTGGTGACAAACACACTCCGTCTTTGGGGTACAGACGTTCTCTTTGTTCAGGTGAGTTCCCTCCGGACAGCCACAGCCCTCCACAGGCACTTCGTCCAGCCCACAGCGAGGGTCAGGGCCAGACAGGGAGCGGCATGTATGATTGCAAGCTTGCATGTTGTAGGAGAATTCTTGGTTCTTCTGACATGTCAGAGCTGCGACACAACGTGGTGATCAACATTAAATTATCCACAGATTTTTAACCCCTTCATTTAATTCTATAATTTAATACTACTAATACTGATTTGTGATATATTCATTGACATATATTTCCAGTGGTTGATGTAACATGGTAGCTGTCTCAAGTTGTAATCTCTTCATAGAAGCCTTTATTATTTACTGTTCTGGAGGGTCTGGAAAGTTTCTCATAATTCTTTTATCATTATTGCCAAAAACAACAATCTCATAAAGTTGTCTTTTACAATTGAGTGGGGGGATGCAGACAGAATAAATTGTGTATTTATCAAAGCTGAACTCACTGCAGTTGGTAGCTTTCCTCCAGTCACCAACTACAACACCCAGATTGGCGCAGGCTTTGGCGTAGCTGCCCAGAGCAACACACAAGCACTGCTGTAGACTGCTGTCACAGTTACATGTTCTTTGGATGCAAGCCTGGAAATAGAAATCAGTTTCATGTGAACAGGAGTTGTCACTGATGTGGTAATTGCTGAAACCGCCAAGAACTAATTAAATATTTATACTTGTTACCATGTGGTAATGATCAATTGGGATATGACCATGGCACTCAGCAAATATCCCAGTTGGGTTGCTCAACACCGAGCACTTTTCACCAGCAAATATTTCTGTAAAGATACATATTACAAAAAAGATTTGCCTCCAAATCTCAATAACTTCTCATCAGTAATATACAGAATTTAAGAAGACAAGTAAAATATTCAGTAAACATCTTTAACATTTTACAAGCACATTTACAGTGTCGCATTCACTGGTACCATTGTCTGTGTTGACACAGGGGTTGATGTTCGGTGGACAATCACCCATACTCCAGGACAGAGCAAATAATTGAGCAGAGTTCTCAATGATGTTGTTGCTGGTGGTGAAGTCATCTGTGGAGTCATTGTTGTTGTTGCCACAAAGACCTGAAAGACAGACGGACTAAAATTACCAATCAAACTGAATCATGCAACAGAGGATATAGAAGGCAGTTTTGTATTTAAAGAGATGAAGTCCTAATGAAAGTGAATCCCAAATGCATTAAATATAGTTTGGCTTGTATATGGACTGAGATTCTAACCTGAGATAATTCCAGTGTGGTTTCTGGGTGGAGTGATATACAGCTGGATTTCAGGAGACATCTGGACTTGGATCTTCAAACCAAAGGGTGTGTGGACATGGACGTACATGGACGACTGCCAGAAAACCAGAGCTTGATCTGGCGGGTGAATGAAGTTGGTGAGTGATTGGGTGAGTGAGTCACCAAGCCTTTATGGATGGATATTTACTAGGCTACCAGACACATTGCATATTCACATTAAGGGCTCCTAAATAGATGCAACAATTCTTCACATTTCTTTTACCAGACTGATGAAGTTCAGTAATCTCCTCCTCTCCAAATGTAACAATGTTGTTTGAGAATGTATACAACGCATGTGTTTTCTGCAAATCCAAAAAACAAAGTTCAGTGAATCTGCACCACTTTGGCTTGACTTTAGTTTGATAGATCATTTTGTTTTAAATTCAACCCGTACTGCTCGTACCTTAAGCTCAAGAATGACTGTTTTCAGAGAGGGTGCCTTTTCGGAAAATGCAATTTTTATTTGCCAGTCTTGACCCTACAGTGATTTTAAAAGAGCATTTAGTATCAAAAAACCACAACATATTTCAATGTTAAATGTCGGGTTTGCGGGAAAAAATTCACCTGTGAGGCCAAGTATGAACATTTACCAGGGATGGCATATTGTTTGCCATCATATGTTGTCACAAACGGCCCTTCAATAAGACATCTGTTGGGGCAGAAGTTTTTAGAGCATTGCCATGTGCCTCTGTCACACGTACTGTGGAGAGAAATCAGGATAAAATTTAAATTGAAAATCTTCAATCGTTTTATTCATAGCAAATTGAAATTCGCATTACATGGATATTTCATAAGTATCAACACTTACCATGTCTGACACTTGGTGCCACGTACATCTCCAGTTGAGTAGCTCTTTCCAGCAAACACACAGGGGCAGCTGGACACACTCACACAGTGGAAGCCAACTGCACGATCATTAAGCACCTTACCTGGGACACAAATTAGAAAACCTCTCATTATTAAACTCCTGTAGGCTAAAGAAGTGTGAAGTGTAAGTGGAGAGTTTTATACTTAGATAATGCTCACCGTTTGGGCAGACGCAGGAGCTGGTGAGATCCTGGCTGGATAATCTGGGGTTCGGATTGGAGCAGCTGGGAACAAAGGCCAGACCCTGTTCTACATAAACCAGGTCTCCAGGACAAATCTGTTCCGCTGCAAACATCCACAGAAACAGACAGTCACATCAAGTGCTCTTCAAATAAGTGTTGAAACAGATTTGAGCCAAACAACTTGAAGAGCTTTAAGATCATGATTCAAAGAGCACCTACCACATGCTGTCTCAGATCTCCATCTAGTCCAGACATAGCTGCTGTTTCCACACTGTTGGACAACTTCTTTGAAGAAAGCACAGCCGATGTATTTACTTTTTTCATAGCCGTAAGTGTTCTTGTCACAGAGTTGTCTATAATGAGGATTCTTATCTTTCAAACAATCCATGACGTAGGACATGAACCGACTGCAGACCTATAAATATTAACAGAGAAACCATCTGAACATCTGGAACTAGGACATACTGCTGCTCAAATTGAGATGCGTTTAGCTTCATTTTATGTTTAAAATAGTTAAATGGTCTGACTCCCAAATAGTGTTACTTTGGTCAGACGAAACTAAACGAAATATATTCCTCAGCGACCTTTTTTTCCCTGACGAAAAAGGGGACGAGGACGAGACGGCGATAATGTCCTTAAATGCTGACTGTGACTATATTAACATGCAATATTGTTGACGAAAAATATTATACAATATACAAAATATTACAGGCCATATTTTCTTTCATTCAGTGGTATGTTTTTCTTCCTGTGCTTTGAATCCTGGCTGACCGGGGCGATGCCTGGTGCGCGAGGAAAACGTTACTGTGGAGGATGTGAACTCTGGTGATGAACACAACATGCTAGGGAGAAAGAGGTGCTTAGACATCAGCTCCCCTAAAAGCGTGATTTGTGATATTTCGGGGGATCTCTGAAATATTGACAGCTTGCTTTATTGACATTAATCTCCATATTTCTCAATCATCATGGGGAGCGTCAGACTTCATCCAGCCAGAGGGAACCATCACCGACCGTACGCATCGGGCATGGATATTAGGCATGATCCATGTAGGCCTACTACTGCAGCTGGGCGCTCCCCACAGCGCCACGCAACTTTCTAAATTCTTCCCTGTCATGGAGAAAAGAAAAGTCAGGTCGCAAACACAGCCGCAGCTGTTGTGTGAAGCGTGACTGTATCAAAATGGCCACTTATGAAATTATCATTATTATTAGGCTATAAAAAGACAAACATGCCTGATATTTTCACAATCAACCCAGGCCTACATACTTACAGCTATAAATGCTAATCAAAATCATACTAATGAGTTAGACAAAAATGATGGTTAAGGACTAAAACTAGACTAAAATACTTTTCTTTTGACTAAAATCAGACTAAAATATCCAGACTTTTAGTCAACTAAAACTTAGTAAAAATAATAGGATAAAGACTAAATTTTAAAATGGCTGACAAAAGTAAGACTAGTCCCAAAAATGTTAATTAACAAGTACAGAAGTTGAAGTATCATCTACGGTTCAATATTTAATGATATATACAAATTATTATAAAGTCATTACTTTATAACTAAAGTTCCAGTAGCTTTAATTAATTAATACCCTGGGTTTTTTCAATAAGATTAATAAATGGAAAAAACTAAAGACCATACAGAGCAGCAGCAGTCTAGAATCTAGTACCATCACAACATCCACTCAGTTGTGTTTTCAGTAATCAAGTAATCCTTACTTGATTTGTAACGGAGACAGGATCTCGGGTTTGACATGTGTCATCAGCAAGCACACTCTCTGTGATCAACTGCTGCTTGTTGCCTAATTTCATAAAAAATTGGACATTCTTTGAGCATACTGTGTGAACAAAAGTTGTGCATTCCTAAAATCAGCTACATTATACTGATAACTAGAAAAGATGCAATTCTTGCATAAACCTTTAGAAACATTTAGGCCCACTATGCATTCATTTTATACTTTGTTTTATTTGACTTTTGAGTTTTTCTCTTTTTTTAAATTTAACATCACATACAGCTTACCAGTTACATATAAAAGTCATTTGTTGCCTATAATAACAACACATTTTACTTCTTTACCACCAACACTATAACTGCTACTGCTTTCTTTATGTACTGCTGCTAATGTTACTTCTGCTATACCACAGCAATTCTGCTGTTAATTCAGTCATTTAACCAACCTACCCTGGTTGTTCCCACATAGTCCGGTCATGTCAGCACTCAGCTCCTGCTCCACCTCCACCTTAACAAAAAGTTAGTAGGTGGGTGTGATTAGTGATCTACAGCACCAAACTAGCTGTGAATGTTCAAATGAACTACACTTGCATTATTTGTGTATGAATTTGTGTGCCTGTGTTTATGCTCCCTTTTGTAGGTTGTCAACATATACATAGCACCAGTGTCCTCTTACCCACGCTGTGTCTATTCCTCCAGGTACATTGTGCCAAGTGATAGACAGAGGAAGCAGCGAGCTCCTCAGTTTAGTGTAGATGCCGTACTGAAAGATGTGCTGGTAGGTGTGGTCGTATGGAAGGGAAACGCTGTCAACAAATAAGCATACAGAGTGGGTTTTAAAGTACAAAATCCTTAAATAAACTTTTGAACTTTTATCAGAACAATATTCAGGTTCCACTGTCACAAAACAATGCAAAATACATAACATAGATTTTCTTACTCAATGTGCATCCAAAGTTTTTTGCATATAAGTTTCTTCAGACTATCACCTGAAGTTCAGGTCTTTCTTTTTATTTCTGACTGATCAGAAGTCTTCTCACTTCATCAACTCTGATTTTGAAAGAACATGCCTTAACTCTCTGTTTACATTTTACTCAACCAGAAAGACAAATCATTATCAGTAACTGTGTCCAAGAGTAAAAGCTAATAATCAACTAACATTGAAGATCTTAAGAATGGATAACAATGTCAGCACCTGACTTTCAGTAAATGATTGAAAGGGCCTAAGAGCACAGCACTCACCTGCTGCTCTCATTCTTACTGTTGTTGGTGTAGCAGAGCAATGTGATTTATTTGAGAATATACGTTTGATCTGAACAAATACAGACTCCAGGATGTGTGATTAGATCAAACATTGCATGAGTCATTTGGTTTTCTGAGTGGTCCCTGTAAAGAAATCGGGGTGGGTTAGGGCCAAACCTTTTCTTCTCCACCAGGATGCTTCCATTCGTCAAAACAGTCCTGACTTTGTTGATAATGATCTCGACTTGGACCAGCAGCCCGCTGTCGTCCCGCCGTGTGGTGATGTCACACTCCACCCGGTTGTGGGTGAAGCGGGTGAGAGTGAACGGGCAGTTGGAGCGCACGTAGAAACTTGAACCATTGAAAGGCTGGACAACCCCGCTGCCAAATGTCCTGCAAGTGTCTGAAAGAACGATCAGTTGAAATGCAATCTGTTTTTCTTTTTCTTGCCAAATGTTTAAACAATGCTACTCTTTTAATGATCAATTCAGAACTCAATAATGAAGTCTAATAACTTTGCATTAATTTAGCATCAACTACAACAGATCTCCACCATTTGTGCTCCACATGTGATGGTGGATCAGCTCTGACATCATCCGAGTCTGCATGGACGCATACACCATCCACCCGCCACCCACCTGAACAAATTATTCTCTCAGATTTAGAGACCCGTACCCACAGGGACACATTTCACTTCACTTCTACCGGTCCCTGTGGCTATGTTGCGTTTTAAATTTTGTTGTATTGATGAATAGCCCAAATAATTACACAGGAACAAGGAAACCAGCAACATAGAATATAACCAAGCCAGAACCGTGACAGTTTCTTTAAAATGAATTCCAGTGTTTCCCCCTCTTTCAAATTGCCTCATCACCTGTAATAAATGAAAACCCCGTTCCATTTTCTGTTTCCAAAAATACATAATTAATCATGATGGAGAATAATAAAGTTACTATGCTTCCTTGAGGTGCTCCATTTTCTATATAATTATTTTATACAACATGCTAACCTTTCATTTATCATTTTCTCCGTTATTTTGCAGATGTTATTGGTCTATAATTATAAAGTTGGTGCAATCGTTTCCTGGTTTGCATATTGGAACTACGACAGCCTCCTTCCAGCTTTAGGGCAGTTTCTATTCCTCCCAAACTTTATTAGTTCCAGTGATATATCCTTGGATGGCAAACTGAGATGGTTTATCATTTTATAACAAATTTGATACTGGCCTGATGCTGATATCTTGGTTTTCTTTAGAGAGCGGTTCAGTTCTGCTTTTGTAAATTGCTTGTTTAGTAGGTCTTAGTGTCTTCTTGGTGTTGTAATCACTCTTCATTCTCCACTACCGTTTCCCTTCCTCTTTCCCCTCTTCACTACTGTATGAACTGTTATTTTTAACATTTGTTTTTGCCATCATCTCTTCTTTCTCCTCATCTCGCGCTGCTTTTGTTTAACCATCATCTAAGATTGGATACCCACACTCTCTTTTCTTCCACTTTCCACGTTGAACCAAACCCTAGAGTATTTACCCCCTAGGTGTGGTTTGTTTGGGTCGGTGTGAAGGCCGAATTCGAACTTTGGTGCTGACCAAACAACCACACTCTGGTCCGCCTCGAAATTATATAAGACAGTGGGTGCACGATCACATACTTGACCCTCTAAGGTCTGCTGAAATGCGGTCGAGACCAACACCAGAGCCTGACGGTGCTCCTTGATGTAGGGATATCTGGGTAGAAATTTGGAGGGGTTTGTTGTCTTTTTACCCGCCTCCTGTATGACCAACAATAGATTTCATGCCATTTCCACCACATGGCTTTTGTTTACAATTTCTGGACTGTCTCTCGAAATCTCATGTCCACCTCTCCTAGAATTTTTTTAAATTCCCCATACAATGCTACTGGACTTAAACTAACATATCTTCCTTTCTGAATTTAAGGATTATTAGAAATTCCTCTATCACAACCTTTTTGCCACAACTTCATTGAACTATTCTCTTCCAAGCTTCGTTCACTTCTTTGACTCGCAAACCAACCTACTTCATCTTAGGTTGTTTTGTCGTTTTCTCCCTTATCACTTCCTCTCCTACTAGAAACTGGAATCCAGTCGCCAAAATCCATATCATCTTTATCTACTTCCTGAGTCCTCCTCAATCCTCAACTAGTTTATGATAGCCGCCTGATGTTTAGTCAATGCTCCCGAGCAGTCAATGGCGGTATAAAACAGAGCAGCCCATAGAATATGGGTTTCAACATTTTTCAAAAGTTGTGAATCACTGTATCCACGAGAGGTCCTTGAACATACTTTCCTAAATGTGCCCAAAAAATATTAGGCCGATGATGATGTCCATGCGAGATTAGCTGCAGACAAATACATGCATTCACAGACGTGCATACACACACACAAACAAACAAATGCACAGTCCCCTCCAAACTTAGCCTATACGCCTGGGCAAACAACCATATGATAAATGATATGATAAAAATCACTGATCAAGATCCAACATTGATTGACTTATACTCACGTTTCTGAGTTTCTGTTGTTGTGACCGATTCAGCTGTCCCTAAAACTGAAGAAATACAGTATCAAGGTGGATGTAAACACACAATAATTAAAAATCAATACTAATACAAATACAGTGAAATACATGATATAGCAGAGATGTTATTGTTATACCAGATACAGAAGTGATTAAAACATGTGGATATGCGATGCACAGATAATCGATCAATCAATCATCAATCAGTCTCTTTATTTGTCCCTGTAGGGAAATTAGTTTGCAGAACAATCAAGTAGGCATTACATCATACGCCAACAGAGATAACCTTCAAACATACTGGTAAACACACAACTAATACACATAACACATTATTTCCCATACCTCCCATGCACATCAGTGTTGGAAGAATTATTCATTTCCTTTATTTAGGTAAAAGTAGCAATACTGGAATAGAGAATACTAAGCACAAGTCCTGCATTGAAAATATAACTTGTGAAAAGTATGCAAGTATTATAAGCTAAAACTACTTTGGAGTATAAAAAGTAAAAGTACTATGAGTAAAATGCTCCTGTCAGCAATTATTATTGTTTAAATGTTTAAGTAGCATTTGCATTGTGTTGTAGGTGGTTGCAGTTTATGAACAACAGAGTCTGCCACAATTGAAAATGAAAAAATGTTCAATAAATAAATAAACATTAAATTCATCAAAAATACATTAAAAAACTAAATGTAAGCATGAATTAAATTATACAATGCAACATGAATTAATATTTCTCTTTTAATATTCTTCTTTATTTATTCACCTTTGTATTAAGTAACCTTATTTATTTTCATTTATAATTTTCTGATGTATTTATTAATTATTAAGACTTGATAGCCTCTCTTCAGGTTAGACTTTCGTACTTCACCACTTGTCTTTAAAAGTAAAGTGAGAAAATGACAGAATAAAGCTGTTAACCCTGCCTGTCATCTTGCTCTGGGCCGGTATTTATCAAGCTTCTCAAACTGCCATTTTAGTCTTAAGTGCAGAGAATTCATGAAATTTACTCCTGCTTTTAAAATTAAGAATAAAAGCAAGTAATCAAATTTCTTAAAGGTAAGAATCACTCTTACTCTCCCAGTTATTTAAGAGAGCTCCAGAGGTCTCTCAAGTGGTTAGGAGCTGCCTGTAGGGCTTGTGATGGCACTGTGGAGACAGAGACATGCTTTGTCAGCAAGTTGGGGAGGGACGTCATCTCACCACTGACTTTAAGCAATAATGCGTTTTCAGCTAAGCTATAAACTATAAATACGGGCCCTGGTCTGTTTCAGTGCATTTATCATAAAGGCTCAAATACATATGCACTCCAAATTTAGGTGCGGCTAGCTTGACTGCTTTCTCACAAACGACATCTCACCTGACTGCAGCTCTGTGTCTGTGTATGCTGCTAACTGAAACACACTGTCAGTCAGAATGTCCACACAAAAAAGAAGGAAAACATTGACTGGTTGTGTTGTTTTCAAACAGAGTTGCTAAACGCCTTGGTTCACTGAAGGAAGCCATCTCTGCTGTGCCTGTGGGGAGCAAGGCTTTTTGCAGTTTGACTGATCAACCAATATGCAAGAAGTTGACCCCTTGACACAGCGCCCTCATTTTCATAATGAGGCAGAAATACATGCAGAAATGTAAAAGAGGAGATAGAAATAAATACCTTTGGAGAAATAAATAGGGAATGTAAATGAAAAATAATACATACAAAAACATTAAAACAAATGCATAAATAAATACATTTAAAAAATAACTAATAAATAAATAAATTTGAAATTTATAAAGAAAAATAAATAAATGAGGTAATATTACAAAGGTGAATAAATAAAGAAGCAAATTAAAGAAATATATCAATTTATGTCTCCTTGCATAATTTAATTAATGCCTACATTTATTTTTATATGTGTTTTTGGTGCTTTAAATGGAAAAAAAGGATGTTTATTTATTGAATTGAGCATTTTTCAATTTCTGTATTAATTTTTAATTGTGACAGACTCCATCCTCCATACACTGCCACAAATGCGACTTACACATTCAAGCATCAGCAACATTAATTCAATAATATAATTAGTTATTCACTGACAGGAGGTACTTTTTCTGAATTATGAGTAATTTTACTTTTCATACGCTATAGAAGTGGAACTGACTCAAGCTGTTCCTTACAGTGTTGACTGCATTTTATAAGCTCATCATATGTTTTGTGTGTAAATTCTTAATTTGTAAAGCAACTGGCAACTAAAGTTGTCAAATAATTGTAGGGGAATAAAAAGAACCATATATTTTTAAGAAAATTACAATTATTTTTAGTGGTAGAAATTAAAAGTAGGGGATACCGGGTGTGGTTGTAACATGGAGAGAGTTGTAACAACACCAATTCCACCAATTAGAGATAAAATAAGAGTTAAGTGATCATATTAGTATTTACCTGCTTCCTCCCCGATCAGGCGTGGTGGTTATCAAGTCTGGCAACAGGTACATTCAGAATATATAGAGAAAAAACTGATTTTGAGGTCAGAAGTAAATTTCTTGACCAAGACCATATTTTGATAAGTATCTATACTATTGCAGATAAAATTGTTTGACTTATATTAGATTAAAATGTAGTTTCTTAGGCAACATGTGATGCATTTTTTTCCATTTCTAATTTCAAAACACTATGCTAAAACAGCTAGCTAAACTTTGGCTGACAGTGGCCTTTGCAGTCTGGGCCCACCAAGCCTGCACTCTAATGTTACCAGCGCTCATTTGTCAGCTCTGTGACCAGTACTCCCCATTCACATGTTGTTCACATGTTGGCATGTGTATCGGCACACGATCTTTTCCATACTCCGTCTCCACCTGCGGAGACGGCAGAGAAGTGTACAGGCAGCTTGCAAGAAGTCCCGGTGCGCAAGAAAAAGTCCCAGTACCCCAAAGAGTAAAATATAGAAGTGCTGGTTCTGAAGTGGACCAGTAAGTTTATTCTATAGATAAATTTAAATACACATACTGTACACGCGTGCGACTCATCAGACATTGTCTGTTACAGTGAGAGAGAAACATTGTTCTTTCATATCACTAACTGTTTTTGAGGCAACCTACCCCGGTATTGGGGTAGGTTGTAACAAGGGAACAGAATGCATTTGACATCAACTCACGAGGTTTGTGATATTCGTGTAGAGGATTGAATTGGTGCCATTTGTAGTGAAAAAATGTGGGTACTTTGTTTAAAGGTTTGACAACTCTAGCTACCAAATTCAGTGAGTTATAGTTTCTGAAACAAAAAGACAATGGTACAACCATACCTGGTCTCCCCTACTATTAAACTGAAATACTCAAAGTACCTCAACTTTGTACTTAAAGTACAGTAATTGAGTAAAGGTTCTTAGTTTCATTCCACCACTTTTCTTACTCCAGTCTGCAGAATGTGATAACTTTTCTCTAATTCAACTTGTGTGGTTGAAGCCTTATTGATCAATAAGTAGTTAAAGTAAAAACTAGTCGGGAAAAAAACGTGAAAAACAACAAACAATTTTACAGAATATTTTACATTTTACAGAGCATATGTAAGAATACTGACAAGAATATTGAAATATAATATATTCAAATTTGATTTTGCAGTATCCTTGTCCCTGAATGAATTCATATTCATATAATGAAATTAAAGATTGCATGGTACCTGAGGCCAGTGAAAAGCAGACTGCCAGCATCCATCGCTGTGAAGTCATGCTGCCTGATGCTCCCTTGCTGCAGGAGAGCAAGAAGAACTGGCCAAACAACCTGCCACATGGCTTAAATAGGCACACACTAAAACACTGATCTGAACAACCCATTCATAGATGTGCACGCTCACATGTGCACACTTCTTTCAATGAAAATACCAGGAAACTAAAAAGAGAAAAAAGCAATTATACATTCAACAAACTGTAATAAAGCTTAAACAAGCTTAAACAAGGAAATGATTTTGCAATGCTAGAAAATGGTTAATTTCCAGTATATCCTGCCTATCATTTTGAAGAAGCCCGGCATAACAATAAGTCCTCTGTTATATATTATTGTGGGAACTTGTGAGTGCATTTGTGAAAGAGAGATCTTGAGAATGTGGTCAGGGGGACTAAAGTTAAACATAATCAGAATATCTTTGCGTTATCTGGCTTCATTAACCCCAACATTCGCCATCAGGCTAAGTCTGGTTCTCAAACTGTGGGGGCATAAAGCCATTTCAGCAGGGTAGTAGATGTTGAGTGGACCTTAAGTTACATGAATAATATTCATGTGGTGACATAAACAAAACTGTTCTAATACTAGCAAGGCTATTTTGCTAACTGAAAGCCTGTAGCCTCTATTGTGAATGATTGATAAAATTAAATTCAGTTTTACTGGCAGGGGCATGACCGAAAACATTTGAGAACTATTGGCCTAAGTGGTCTCACAACGCTAGGTTTCCCAGTCCAGCTATGAACACGTTCACGTAAAAGGGTTTGCAGCAGATGACCAATCGCAAACATTCACAGATAAATAAGAAAAAATTAAACACGCAATCCAGGCTCAAAGCAACACAGCTGCACTTCCACATACAGGAAGATTGAACCCATTTGAAAGCCTCAGTTTACAGGCATATAATATCACTGCCCATCATTAGGGCATGCAAGTAGATCTGAATATAATTACGTTTGTTTGTTCCGTTAAATTAATATGTTGCTTTTATGTATTCATCTGGCCATTTTAGCCTTATTCTTTCAACTGCAGTGGCTGTGTGTGGGCTTTTGGACAATAAAAGCCTAAGGCATTGAATAAGTGGTCTTTCCAACTCACTTTCAAGAACTTCACGTCACAAAAATCAGATTCATTTATTTAATGCACTGAAAAATGTTCAAAATATTGTTCTAAATGAACTGCAACAAAACAAAAAATCCATTGATGCCCTAAAATGTGCTCAAATTACGGGAAGACTGTATTGTCAACCATGCCTTCACTTCCCAACAGTTACTGAAAACCACATTACCTGCAACCAAATTGCAAAAGGTAGGGCACATGACCAGCATCCCAGTAATAAGTTAACCACTGTGGTAGGACTGAAAACCCAAAGTTAAACCTGAAGTTACCTTGCTAACCGCTTTGTGGTACAGACCCAGGATGGAGTCTCAATGAAACAACACTGGAAGACTCAACCTCAAAACAACTACTGAAGGAGAGTTTGAAACCTGTTCATGTTCTTTTTTTTTTCTTTAAAGGTAATGCAATACACGTCTTTTGTCAAATTCAGCAAATGTCTCCTCACGGTCTGCTAGCTGTCTGATCTATGTGTGAGTGCACTGAGAAAAAATCAGGTGTTTGTACACAGCCCTGGAAATGGGAAACAAAGTGGCTCAGACGGAGCTACACAACATTTCTGCAATGATTTGTGTGTTAGGCAGGGGCGGCTGTCCAATAGAGGGCGATAGAAGAAATTAATTTATTATTATCGTCATTAGTATTTTTTGTAATTTTTTGAATTATACAAATGTTCAAGATCTCCTGCCTCTGAATATCATAGTCCAATTAGTCAGCATCAAGTTGGATTCTGGAGAATCAACCCTTTTGGGCAAATTAAATCTGGTTGAAAATTGGCCAGATCGTTCTGACAGAGTTTCATGTCTGCAGTTTTTTTAAACCGCAGTCGAACCGCAGAGTGTAATCTCTATGGCTAACCTGGTGCATTCACATGTTCCATGGGATGGTCCCATTTCCCGAGTTGGGAAGTCATTCTTCCAACTTCGGTGTGTTCATGAGCTTGTAATGTAGAAACAACATGGAAGCTGCAAAGAAGATGTTGGATATTTTACTGCTCAGAGCGTTTAAAAAACACGCTGATAGCAGCAAAATATTGCTTTATGTTTAGATTATTCCGACACCACATGAGGCAGCGCCACTTGCACCAGTGGTCACATTCAAGATTAACATTGCTAACATTACCTCAAACACGAATTAAGACGTTGTAGCAATCAGAATAAATTCACTGGCAACTATAAAGCAAGGCCTACTTTAGGAAGTCAAGTGACATAGTATAAAGAGTTAATAAAGGGACCTACTTTGGTAGATGAACTGGCCAACCACAGGACATTCACCTGGGAGATCAGGTTTTGGTTCCTGTGTGACCCAGAAAGGTAATGTTGATTTATTGTTTTAACCCAAACCATGATCTTTTCCTAAATATAACCAAAGGCTTTCTAACATGTGCAGTCTAAATGGTCGCAGTTTGGCTAGGCTTATGCACCAAAACCACTTGGTTAGGCTATGCTTAAATATACTGGTGAAACACCTTAGCATGTTTGCTTGAATTCTGGTAAAGCACTGCTGTCAGATAAGATCAAAATACTTAAACACAGACATTCAGCTCACTTTCTAGTTTACTATCAAGATATGCTGTTTTGTGATGTTATCTATAGTAGCAGGAAAGCTGGTAGTATTACTTTCTGGAGTGAGAACTAAACTAAAGTCTATTACATTGTAGGCAAATTTATTCCCCTACATGCTGCTCAAAGCGACTCCACCTCTCCTCTGGCACTGCAGGCAGGAGTGAGAGGGATGCTGTGGGTCTCTGTCGCTCTGAAACTTCACAAAAACACAGAAGGAGAACTTCGTAGTGATGAAATAATTTATTCATCTGTCCTGAGAGATGTTTTTACTATCCCCACCAAGAGTTACATGAAAGATCTGCCCTCAAATTCACAAAGACTTCATAGTCCGCCTTTCAACCTCATATCTCCTCCCAGAAATGATATGAATGATGAAAACATTAAGTTCTTTATTGTGAACAAAGAGGTATTTACTTTCAGGAAACACTGGTGAACCAGACAATGCATGGCATATTAAGGACAAGTGGACAAATGAGAGAAGAGGCCAGGGTGTATGAACCAGGATGTAATAATTTTTTAATTTGAAAGCAGAGGGAAAGTTTCACATGCAGCTATCATTGATATTTGTCATGGTATTGCATTTGATTGCATACCCCACCTTGAAACCTCATAATTCCTGCCAGAAATTATAACAAATGGTCAAATTAGTAAAAGATTAACACTGGTTAGCCACACAGTATATTGCCGCTTAAGGACATGTGGACAAATGAAGAAATGAGAAATAAGGCCAAGGTGAATGAACCAGGATGTAGTTATTTTTCAAACTGAATGCTAAGAAAAGTATCACATGATGTTTAAATATGTGTTCTGCAGCTACTCAGATTTCTTTTAATGCAAAGATTATACTTAGAGCTGCAAACTGAGAACGCTCATTAACTTAAATCAGAGAGGTGATAAAAGGATTAAGTGGCTTACATTAGCAGGCTACATTAAACCGGAGATATTTCAACCTAACCCACCGCTTTCACTTCAGTTGGGATTCTTAGTGTGTGCAGATACTGAGGAGTACTCACTGCATATAATTAACCTGTAACTAGATACCTATAGCTGCAGTAACTTGGTATTGGTTGAAGATAAAACTAAATTCAAATGTAAATAGTATTGTATATAAGTAGTTAAATATGTTTATAAATCACTACAAAAACTGCATATAGTAAATGGTGGTTCTACCTGTTAATCTTTTTTCACAGAAACACAAAGATTTATCAGTTCGTACACAGCTTTGATTTTAAGGTAGAAAGTGAAGTTTGTGTAACAGTAAGAAATCTAAGTTTTGGACATTGCGAAACCTTTTAGATTGTGATGATGTAAAGCTACATTTATAGATTTTTTTTTGGTCACTAGGACCAGAAGAGCTCCAAAACAAACAAAGAGACCATGGCTAACACGTTAGCTACTTACCTACTGACACATTCAGCAGACACAGAACAACATTATCATGCCTTTGGAGTCAAGTTTCTGGCCACTGTTATTCACTGGCCTTAAACAGGTTTATCGTTTGGTTTATAGCCATTTGGCAGGACAGCCCACAAGACACAGTGAGAGACACGTCACAACAGAGGTACAAAAATGAATAACTCAATACATTTCATAATAGCCTACATTAACAAAATTGACCTGGGGGGAAAAAATATGAATGAGGCCTTAATCAACACTGTCATTACATAACAACCTGCATTCTCCCTACAAGGCTGTGTGTGAAATAATACCTGCAGGTGGTCAGTCAAGTGTTTTTTTTCCCCATATTAATATTTCCTATTCATTGCGTACGAAGTGAAATATTTCAGGCCTTTTTTTGTTTTGTTCTTTATGATTATGGCTTACAGCTCATGGAAATCTATATATAAAAAAGTTTAACTTTTTGACTTGAATTACGGGGAAAAAAAAACTTTTCAATGCTATTCTAATTTTCTGATGCACCCGTATATTAATCAGAGACAGCCAGTGGGGGGGAGCCCTCTCATATTTAAATGAGTCTTATAACAGACACTCTTCATGAGTATGTTTAGGAGGCAAATGGAGAGCAGCAACCACGTGTGCTTTCCTCTGTTCATTATTTAAGATAATTTATGGATTTATTTTTCTTATAAATAAAATACGCTCAGCAAATAATAAAAGAATATGGTAATGTAAGGCAAGGGCAAGAGATATGAAGTGAAAATAGTTAGCTTCATCTGAGAATGTGTTCAGCACATTAAGAGTAGTAAGAGTAAGAGTAATAAAAGAATGTGAGCAAACATTCTTCAATTCAGTATGTTGAAACTATTGTCTGATGCTGGTGCTAGTGGAAAGTTTAGGGGTCGCCAGCATTTTAGCAGCGATCCTTATCCAAATTTTAGACAGGCTATCTGGCCAGTAGTCTG